CCTCACACAGCGGCAGCCAGGACTCTGACATGGATGACAACAACAGCACTTCACCTCTGCATTCAAAGGACCTTTCCAAGAGGCCAGCTAGCTCTCCTCTCAGCTCTCCACACACCAAGGAGCCTGTGAGTAAAAAAAAAATCAAACCAGCACACTCTCACAGGGCCCCACTCTCAGGGCCCCCCGGCCCCCCTCTCAGGGCCCCCCTGAACACAACCCCGTAGACTGAAAAAATGTATTTGACCTACACTTGCTGGTACAAGTCTCTGTCTAACAGCGTACCATATACTGAGTAGCTTTACTTTGAAGTCTAATATACATTCAGGTAATATGGCAAATTACATAGACCCTTTCCATAGTCTTGTCCTTCCCTCCCCCTACATGTTAAGCTCCCTATCCTTATCCCCGACCAGATAATTAAAGTATCTAAGCGCAGTTCATACCTCAGTTAATACCTCATACCTGTTGAGGGATAGGCATGGTACTCTATGCCTTCCCCTCGCTCTTCCTCTCTTTCTTATTTATTTTTGTTATTTTATGTCGCATTCCTTACTTATACCGAGCTGTAAGCCTGTTTCTTTCCACTGACTAGCGTATTGAGATGACTGTTTGTACATGCCGGCTGATAAGTCCTCTGACACTACCGATCTTACTGTTATGTCGACATGTGTATTCAACCTACTGTTTTGGACTCTGTATGCACCTGCTCTTTATACTTAATAAAAATATATTGTTAAAAAAAAAAAAAAAATTGTGAGTACAACATAAATTATTCAGTGCTGAATAGAGATGCACCAATACCGATACTAGTTTCGGTGCCGGTACCGAATATTTGGGGGAGGACTCGTACTCGCCCAAATGCTCCGATACCTTCCCCGATACAGGAACCCCTGGTCAGAGGAAGTTTTCCTCTGACCGATAGTGCCGTAGGGGAACATGGAGCTAGAATCCTGTGCAATCAGGAAGCTTGGCGGCGAGTAATGACCCGCCTACCGGCTTCCTGATTGGCCGGGAAGCCGGCTTCCCGATCCATCAGCATCATGTGGGCCGAACAGCCAGCTCCTTGCTGATTGGCTGGGAAGCCGGCTTTCCAGCCAATCAGCATGGAGCCGGCGACTCAACTAATCAGGGGGCCGGGAGGCGGGTGATTGCTCGCCGCCCGGGTTTCCTGATTGGTTGGGAAGCCGGCTAAATGCTGATTGGCTGGGAAGCTGGTTTCCAGGCCAATCACAATCTAGCCGGCCAAAAGCCATGCAGCCGGCTTCCCGTGCAGTCTGGTGGCATGTCATTACTCGCCGTCCAGCTTCCTGATTGCCCGGGAAGTCGGCCCTATGCCATCGGAAGCACCGGTAGGGGTACTCCATGTGGGCGAGTACCGAAAGCAAAATATCGGTACTCGCACTCTATACCGAAAAACCGGTGCATCCCGAGTGCTGAACATATAAACACATGATATAAAATGTGTAATTGTTACAAGAACTAAGTAAAAGGAAACTGCTAATATATCTCCAACCAATGTCTGCCAGTAATGATGGTCATTTGTTGCATTCTTAAATATTTATACTTTAATTGCTTTACAGAACGCTGAACTCCGGACATTTAAATCTATTACTTAATAATCACCAAGGATATAAATCCACTTTGTGTGCACCAAACTCCTTTTGCAAACCCAAATGTGAAATGAGAATCACATAGTTAACTTTCCTTAAGTCGATTGCTCATTGGTATTGTATAGCTGATTATTATACTGACATCTTTTGCCCCGTAGGCTAAAGTAGACATACAGCATCACCAACACAGAATTGTCCGGAAACATGGAGGTTGATAAAGTGGGATAAAGTAGGCAACCTTGGCGCTCCACCTGCGATGAATCTACAAATCCCATCATGTCTGTTGCTGTCAGAGTCTTGCAATGGGTCATGGGACTTGACGTTCCCCAATAGCTGGAGTTCCAAGGTTGCCTACCCCTGGATTAGCGGGATGGAGCCAACCCGTTCCTTTCCTCAATGGGAAGAAGCAAGGAAGAGGCGGTTGCAAGTTGCCACACCCATTCTTCAAGCAAGGAACAGCTTCAGGTCCCAGCTCTACAGAGTTTGGGTAGAAGTCATCCTTCCTGTGGTCCTTGAAGAGTCGTATGTCTCTAGGTGGTCATCCATAGATTTGTCACAGCACACCAACCTGTACACTAGTCTCCTACACCTGGAAGAGCCGTAATAGTAGATAATAGGATCAAGACAACAGCTGATGCTACCGAGACAGCCCGAGATCATGTAGGCAAAATACAGAGTGTTGCCGAATGACTTATGGAAACTCGGATAATAAATGAAAAAGATGACATTGGTGGGGCCAAAAAACATGACGAATTCAAAAAGTACTGTGACACAAAGGAAGATGGATCGGGACCTTTTGTTTGGGTTTGCCGATTTCAGTGTGCTCAGGCTTCGGATGGTCACAACGTAACAGAACGTTGTAACAATAAAAGGCAACAGAAAGAAAGCGGAAATAAAAGCGATGAAATAATGAAAGTAAAAACCCTGAACGTCTTCCAGCTCCAGCATGTCGTAACAAGTCGTGATGTTCAAACGGGAAAAGTGAACGGTCAGTTTGTTTAAGAGAAGCGGCACATTGCTGGCGAAGGAAACCATCCAGATGACGAGACAGACCAGCCAGGCTCGGCCCACTGTGCGCCATGTCAGAGACTGAAACGGGTAAACTACACCCAGGAAGCGGTCCACGCTGATACTGGCCATGAGCAGGACGGAGCAGTACATGTTGCAGTAAAATGACGCCGTGACGAAGCGGCACATCCCTTCTCCGATGACCCAGTTGTTTCCGGAAAATCGGTAAACTATGTTAAAAGTGACGAAGAGGACATCAGCGACCGCCAAGTTAAAGGAGAACTATGGTGTCAGGGCTTTTGCCCACAGTTCTCCTTAGGGTAAGCTACAGCTCGCGGTATACTGAGACGCCGCAGCTGGAGCGGATCCCGACATCGATGTCGAGATCCGCCCAGCTGCGTGAGTGACAGCTGGCTCTGCCTATCTAGAGGCAGAGCCAGCTGTACCCTCCCCCGTCCGTTCCGCCAGTCAGCGCTGGCGGATCGGAGCGGGGAGGGGGAATCCAGCCCCTCCCCTGTCACGGCTCGAGAGGTGAGTGAGCGCCGCTATGTGTTCGCTCACCTCCCGATCTACTGAGCCGACCTGTGACAGTCTCATTGTCACAGGTCGGCTAGAACTATGAGGTGAGTGAAAAGCACCCTCC